GTCCATGTTTTAAATTTCACGGGTAATGAAACCGTTAGAAAATATAACTATACACGAAGAACAAAAATCTCTTACCATTTTTTCTCCTCCGACGAAGTTACTAAAATAAAACATGTTTGCCCACCAGGTGTCTCTACAGTTTTGTATTTGCGGTTCTACAAACTTACTCCAAAAAGGTCCAGAAGATATCAGTGGAAGCAGGAATATAAATGATATGACTAACATCAATGGGGGAGTTAGCCTAAAATATACATTAATTCAGTTTAAAATAGACATAAATGTTTGCTTTTCTTTTTCTTAATGACGAATAATGGCCTCCAAAAACAGGAAATTATATTTAAAAATTCACAAATGATTTTTACAAACAAATTAATTAACTATTGTTGTTATCGACGATCACCATGTTATGTCGTCAAGTAGAAACACTTCATAAGTTCTAAAATAACTATTTTTTTTTCAAGTCTTTGGTAATTATATTATATTCATTCCCGTAGAGAACACCGATGTAATATTTAAAGAGTGAACTTGAAACAACTGTTTGCGAAAAAGGTGTCACTACAGAGCCCTCAGCTTCGTCACACGTGTGTTATTAACAGTTCGAAACGTTGTCTCTAAACTACTGCCAGTGGATATAGCTTTATTACTCTATCTTTAAAGCGTTATCCCAAGTGAAGCATAATCCACCCCTAAATGGATCAGTAATCACACCTGTTAAAGGGATCAGTAATTACACCTGTTAAATGGATCAGTAATTACACCTGTTAAAGGGGTCAACAATCACACCTGTTAAATGGATCAGTAATTACACCTGTTAAATGGATCAGTAATTACACCTGTTAAAGGGATCAGTAATTACACCTGTTAAATGGATCAGTAATTACACCTGTTAAATGGATCAGTAATCACACCTGTTAAAGGGATCAGTAATTACACCTGTTAAATGGATCAGTAATTACATCTGTTAAAGAGATCGGTAGTCACACCTGTTAAATGGATCAGTAATTACACCTGTTAAACGGATCAGTAATTACACCTGTTAAAGAGATTAGTAATCACACCTGTTAAATGGATCAGTAATTACACCTGTTAAAGAGATCGGTAGTCACACCTGTTAAAGAGATCGGTAATTACACCTGTTAAATGGATCAGTAATTACACCTGTTAAAGAGATCGGTAATTACACCTGTTAAATGGATCAGTAATTACACCTGTTAAATGGATCAGTAATTACACCTGTTAAAGGGATTAGTAATCACACCTGTTAAAGAGATCGGTAATTACACCTGTTAAATGAATCTGTAATTACATCTGTTAAAGAGATCGGTAGTCACACCTGTTAAACGGAGCAATAATTACACCTGTTAAAGGGATCAGTAATTACATCTATTGAATGGATCATTAATTACACCTGTTAAATGGATCAGTAATTACATCTGTTGAATGGATCATTAATTACACCTGTTAAAGGGGTCAACAATCACACCTGTTACAGATATCAGTCATCACACCTCTTAAAGGATGAATAATTACACATGTTAAAGAGATCAGATCTTGTCATATTTATTGTTAAAAACAATTAAAACGTGCGAAAGCTCAATGTACGAAAACTTTCATTGATGCCGGATAAACTTTTTTTTCAGTCTATGGTTTTTAAATGTTCTTTTGAAAGAGTGTTGATTCTCCTAGATAATATGTTACTTTTTTTAAAGTTCTATAATATTAAACAATAGCATGAAACTCACATTCATTCTGTAATCATTATTTCATCTGAACTCAAATATTCAGGATTGTCATCAGATACCAACTGTAAATTCAACTGGTTTATAATAAATAGTGTATGTAACACAAGAAGAATTGTATAACGCCAATATAGCTTATAACAACACTTTTTAAAGCTATTACAAACCTTTATCGTATATTTACCCTAGAAGTATAAGTCTGTTTGTATGATACATTCAGATCCATTATTTTGCGTATTGTCTGTATAAAACGTACACGGTAAGAACAAACACATACAAAATTATTGTTTTTTAAGTAGTTTCATAAAAGGATTATGTTCATATAATATCTATCAAACATTATTTTACTGTGTATGAAATCATTAAAAAATATATGTACCATCTTTTTCAATGCACATAATGCACATTCTACAGCTTTGTGCTTAACAATAAACAATTTATTGAACTTGGAATTTAGAAATTAGAAACATTTAGTAATTATAAAAATGACAAGCTGTTGAAGATTTTCATCTACTAAAAAAACAAGTCATAAAATTTACAACAGATGCACGAACCAATCACATTTACCTCTAGTAATATAATGAGTTACTATGAACCAATCACATTTACCATCTAGTAACATAACAAGTTACTATGAGCCAATCACATTTACCATCTAGTAATATAACGAGTTACTATGAGCCAATCACATTTACCTCTAGTAATATAACAAGTTACTATGAGCCAATCACATTTACCACCTAGTAATATAACAAGTTACTATGAGCCAATCACATTTATCTCTAGTAACGTTACACACAACACACAGATTACGTTTACTATAGATAACATTAGATACTATAGGTAGATCACGCTTACTTTCAGTAACGTTAATTACTACAAACATTCAGTATATCATAAGGACCACATTTACCTTACTGTCAGTAACGTTAAATACTACAAACATTCAGTACATCACAAGGACCACACTTACCTTACTTTCAGTAACGTTAATTACTACAAACATTCAGTACATCACAAGGACCACATTTACCTTACTGTCAGTAACGTTAAATATTACAAACATTCAGTATATCACAAGGACCACATTTACCTTACTGTCAGTAACGTTAAATACTACAAACATTCAGTATATCCCAAGGACCACACTTACCTTACTTTCAGTAACGTTAATTACTACAAACATTCAGTATATCACAAGGACCACACTTACCTTACTGTCAGTAACGTTAAATACTACAAACATTCAGTATATCACAAGGACCACACCTACTTATAGCAACAATATGTTTAATTTCAGACAAGTTATAAGACAACTCCCCGACAGATATATATCCCTGTTACCTGTAGTAACTGCATGGCTTATGATGCCTTCAATAACAATGAACGTCTTTACGTATGGATCACTTTTTTATCATCAGTAACAATATATACCTAAGTGACATTTTTATTAAAAACTTCAGTATTAACATGCAACATCCTGTATGGGCCACGTTTTAGTATCAATATGCTCTATTACGGACCAGCCACTTTTTACATTTAGTAACAATATGTTTTACTACGATTTTTTAACCTCCAATAACACCATGCCACATTATAGACAGATTACACTTACTTCAGTAACACTATATATCTCGGTAAAAACGGATCAGGCTTACCTCCAGTAACGATGTACTACATATCTCACAAGACCCAAGCGACCATTAGTTCTTTTCAGTTTTCTTAGCGTCGTGTAAGTCAGAGTTACTCCACTAAAAATAAAGTTAGTCTTATTTTTAAAACAGAGATAAATTAAATAGTGCCTTTTAAAGCATCATACGTGAAAATCAAATTACCAGCATGATAGTTTAGCCTCGTATTTCAAAAAGCCTATATTTCTAAAACTAGTGTAATTAAATATGTATATATTACATATTGATTACGTTACATTTGCTTTCATACAAGGATAAAGAGACGTTAATTAATTGGATGTATAATAACGTTTGGTAACAAGTTTATTACAAGTAGCAAATGTACGACGTTTCGGCAAGGTTTTGTCATCATCAGGTACAAGTATTTGTAATAAAGTTTCTCTCGTTACAAATTCAAACCGTCTACAGACTTTATTCTCCAAAAGTGGGGGTCCGGCATGGCCAGGTGGTTAAGGCGCTCGACTCGCAATCTGAAGGTTGCGGGTTCGAATCCCCGTCACACCGAACATACTCGCCCCTTTCAGCCGTGGGGGCGTTATAATGTGACGGTCAATCACACTATTTGGTGGTAAAAGAGTAGCCCAAGAGTTGGCGGTGGGTGGTGATGACTAGCTGCCTTCCCTCTAGTCTTTCACTGCTAAATTAGGGATGACTAGCGCAGATAGCCCTTGTGTAGCTTTGCGCGAAATTCAAAAAACAAACCAAAAGTGGGTTCCTCAAGTTTGATTGGCTGTATGATTGTTTACACTTATATTAAAAGGGGAATGGCTTAATGAGAAGTTGTACTGCCGAAATTTCGCTTCATGTTATCAAATCTCAGAGAACACGAATCCTCATCTTCGATTAATCTTCAGCTGGACTATCTATTAAAGGATTATCACTAGTATTGCACCCAAAATCCCATTAAATGATCATAAAGTCTTAAAATAGTCGGTTTACAATATACACCAATATTATTTGTTTCTTTGTTGTTAAGCTACACAATTGGCTGTCTATGCTGTACCCACAACGGGTACCAAAACCCATTTTTTTAGCGTGATAAATCTTCAGACTTACCCGCTGAGCTACGGGGGGGATTGTATGTTTCATTACTGACCCAATATCTATCTGCGCTAGCCGTTCCGAGTTTAACATTAGAGGGGAGGCAGCTAATCATCACCACCCACCGCCAACTCTTGGGCTACTCTTTTACCAACGAATAGTGGGATTGCCTGTCACATTATAACACCCCCATGGATGAAAAGCGAGCATGTTTGGTGGGACTGTGATTCGAACCCGTGACCCTCAGGTTGCGAGTCAAGCGCCCTAACCACCTGGCCATGCCGGGCCAACTGGATGCGAACCATGGACCCTTGGATTCATAGTCTGGAACGTTAAACTTTAGTGCACGTCTTGCTTAAAGAATGTAAAGAAATTGATAATTCGCGAGAGTTTAAGGAATCGCGAACCTGAAACCAAGTCTGAATCAACAAAAATTTAGCGATACTCCCTTGCATATGTGTTCTTTTCATACTTACATTCAGTGTACACAAAATAATTAACTACTTTAAATCAACAAAATGAATCTTAGGTCAAAATATATAATGAATTTAATTTGTCGTAACAATACGTATAAACGGACTCAAATGTGAATATCTCACAAATTCTTCAAATACAGAAATGTCAAATTATCATATATTACGAGAGTTCTAGCAACATTCAGAAAGAGAGGACAAAACCAGTTGCATCATGATGGCTTAAACAACTTCAATTACAATATACTTACAATAATATTTTACCGAGATGTTGATCAACATACAATACAGTTTCAAGTATTTCTTAAAATCCACTTGCGTTTTTTCTCTTTTTTTTTTCTTTCACTATTGACACCAATAAGATGTACGTATCAAAGTAGTTATGGCCTTGACACATATATACGTCATCGACACGTACTACCTTACTCACAACTATGTTGGTTTCGTTAAGTTCTACGTAACTGAGACACTACTATTTTTTATCAAGGTTGGTATAAATTATACAGCTTCAAATTACCTTTAATGTGACACGAGTTAAACCAGGATTGAGCAACAGACAAACAACAACACCTGGACTATTAGATGTGTTGTGTTTTTCTTTCTTACAAATCATTAAGTTCATTAGAAATCCATTGACAGGAAAATAATTCAGAAAAGGAAAGATTTAGGAAAACAATTGTAAGTGGTGTGAAAAGAAGTGTTCTAAGCCTACTCTTTGACAATATCATTGGGATCATTCAGGACAACTTCAAGGTCATGCCTTTCGAGAAACGTCTATGAATAGGTGTCATACACCAAACATATCATCTGTAAAGTTGTACACAATAACAATAGTCAGCTTAACTGTTATGGTGTGAACACCTATATCAAGCGGCGAAACATGACTATAATTAATTTACTTGTCATTAGACATTAATATTAAGCCTATTACACTATATTGAATATATAATCTCTTAGGAATTTTCAATAATTAGAAGAGTGTATGATATTGTTGCGTCTCTGTTCGTTTGTTAATTTCCCGTAAAAATTCTTTCTGAAGAACTTCAGCGATACAAGTCCTTTCTTAAATAAAATTAGTTTATTCTCTCTCAATACAACTTTGCAATACACAGAATTTCCAAAGTCACTTTAACTTAAACATACGCTATAATTCACAACGATTCACGCATTTTTCTTACGGTCACTACCGCTTACTTGACTCAATTATCTGTATCTATATCTCTCTTCAATCTGCTATTCTATCTCCGCTTTATTTGCCGGGCTTATATACTAAAGGGGTAGGAAAAGTCATGATCATTCTAGAAACTCCAGCGCGCATGCTTCCAGGGTCACGTGACTTCCGCTGTCGTAACAGTATTATATGTTCGTCGCTGGCAATACAGTGTGGTTGGAATACTATTATTATACACTATTCTAATTATTGAAAATCCCTATGGGACTAGATATAAAATGCAGTGTTAAAAACATAAATAGGCCTAATACTAATGTCTGGCGACAATTAAATTAATAATAGTTGGATTAAATGTATAATCTTTTACCGCCACTAATAACCTACAATGGTTTAGGTATAAAGTACATCTTAGGTTATTATTGGTTAGTAGGGCACTATACAGTTAAACCAAACAAGCTGCCCACATTCCACCACTATATGAGGCCTACTTTGTTTATTCGTTTCATTCTTCCAACCAGCATTGATGAACTGTGAATTCGGTGAAACTAGTGTGTTACAGCACGAGTAGCGAATCAAAGAATAAAATAGGCCTCTATACCAGTCTCTTCTTCACCGAAATTTGCGTTTTCGAGAAGACAAGAAATAAACAATAATAGTTATAAGCATAGTTGCAGATGAAGTAAACATCCAAATAGTACTACGAAATGATGTCAAAAATCACCAGTTGTGTTCAAATTTCTGCCCAAATGTGACAGATGCAAGTATGACAGTTTTATTATCAGTATCGTTGTGGATGTTGATGTGGCTTCACGGCGTCTACACATAAATAAGCTTGTGGTACGCAGCCGCTGATATGCAATTCCTTTAATCTGATGTGAAGTTCTGAAGGGTATCGTTCACCTGGAAACCATTTGGTATACATCTTGATAACATTCTTCTTAGGGTGTAACCACGTTATACTGTTCTTCAGTTGAATACTGTGTTATTTATTAGACGACCTGAGATCCGCTGTAGCACATTGCTTGCAGTGCTTGTGTGCTACCTCACGTAGGTATTTTTATTTTAATAGTTTTCATCTATTGGACCCATCAGAGATGCAATAACCTGCTTATGTAAAGGTCTGACCTTGCCAGTTCAGAGTTAGGTTTGTGAAACAACTTATGATATTGTTACGTCTCCGTGTGTTAATTAATTTTCCGTAACTTCGTTCCGACGAAACTTAAGCGACACAAGT